TAGTTTGTATTGAGATTTTAGTCCATCACAGGAGCGAGCTTGGAGTGGTGGCTACTTTACACATGGACCATGAGGAACACACACAGGGACCATGGGGAACAAATGTAGCCACACTCCAGAAGGAAGGGCAGTGTCAGCATGAATTCAGAGATGATTTGAGAATCTACAACAGATACACAGGTAAGATACATTTTGTTGATAGAGTTTTTAATCAAGTGTTTTGTTTTTTTGGGTTTTTGTTTGCTTGGTTGAACTTAATAGACTGTTTTTCATCCTAAGTAAATTGTAATTGATCTGATTAGTAGCTGTTAGACTGTCCAAGAATATTTAAGAATTAAACCTTTTGGTCTCCTGGCTCTGCAGATGCTGAAAATATGCAAATGTTCAGCCTTAAGACTCATACACATGTCATCTCTGCTCTAAAGGGCCACATTGGAGATCCATTGAAAATAAATAGTGCCGCATCGCCACCGAGTGGATGAAGGTTATGAGAATGACATTGGACATTTATGACATAGAAATATTGCAACAGTTTATTGTGTTAAGCACTTATGCTGTAGCTAGATGACTAAAGAAGATAGATTTGTTTCTTTAGCATATGAATAGGGATTTTGACAGATAATTTCCATGTTTTGTAGACTATTCTCTGTAATCTTGTGCTTAACATTGCCAGTTTGTTTCAGAAATAGCGGCATTCATACATTACAGCATCATCGCATTCTACTCGCCAACTATACAGATAATGAAGCAATTAAGCTTAATTAACATCTATTTAAAGAAGCTATGCAGTGCCAGTAAGATTACTTTTGTTCCAGAATAATAATCATTCTAAATTATTACAAACTAATTTGCTATAGCAGATGCAAATTTTATTTTGATCTGTATGGCTTGCAAAACAATGTTTTTGCTGATCACTGAGGAAGAGGAACTTAAGTGTTTTCAATGGTGACTTCCGAGTAATGGTTACCTCACTATATTGTCAAGATTATGCACTTGTCATGTTCTGACACTTTAAACTCTCTTGTTTTTGGAAATGTAGCAATATATGTATCGCTTTAAAAAAACATATTGTGTTTAGTTATAGAGTGGCAAACAATTGGTATATATTGTATACTTTGGTTCTTTCTCTGGTTAAAAAAAAACATCTTTCGGTTAGAAAAAAGTACCTTTGGTTAAAGTTAAGCCAAAATGTTTTTTAAATGTTGGATAGAGTAGGTAATGCTTAAAACTCCTGTAATTTTTTTGCCATTTGGGTCAATTTTTGTCCCCTACACACAACAGGAAGTATAAATCTCTCCAAAAAAGGGAAATTCCTTCTTAGACAGTTGTCACCAGAAAAAGTGTCCCCATTGAAAGTTTTTCCTCTATATTCCTTTTCTGATGACACTTCAGAATTTTGGATCTTTCCTTTCTGCCTACATGGAAATGGTCATCATTACACATAGAGGTAGAAGCAGAGACACAAACACCAATAAAGATAGGGAGTCTAACCTTTCTCCAAATTTAGAAAAAGCATTGGCTTTAGATACAAATAATTATACAATTTATTCGAAAACAAATAAATATTGTAATATGTAAATATTTTATACAGACTGTGTATGTTGTTAACTAAAATTGTGCATTTACTGAATGGCCAAGGGGATCACTTTACCAGTTCAACATGGTCAGGTGGTGGACAACTTACCTTACCATGCTAGGGCAGGCAAGTTGTACATAAACCTCACACATTTTAGCACCTCCTATTGAAGGTACCAGAGGTATGGCAAAGCCCAGTCTTAACTGACTGCAACTGAGGGCACTGTGAGGCTTGGTAGTATATCAGTAGGGTGGATAACCCTGTTGCTTCACCACTCATGAGCTCAACTGAAACCTGTATTTTTCAGTATTATAATGTTTGACCCTATAGTGCAGCTATCACTGCACACATATTATACACATTTGGGACAATAGATTGGCCCACCACATCACGAGGCAACATAATTCATGCTCTCATAGTGTAACCATCACTTGACTAGTATTGTACAAAACTTAGACACTGGACTAGCCCACCAGAAAACTGCAGAATCACGCTTGATGTTAAAATGTGTCCATCACTAGACAAGCAGTATATGACAGTAGACAAGCATAAACAATACATATGTCACTGGGCAGGAGTATGCATCTCATAGTGCAGCCATTACTAGACATATATTGGACACAAATTGGTCAATGGTCATCAGGTCATTAAAGGTATAGTGTAGCCATTGCTATTCAAACCACTAAGACTAAATATTGGCCCACCAAATGATTGGACAAGATAATGCATGATCTCAAATTGCAACTTTGACACAACCAAGTCAAAAGTTTGGCCCACCAGACTCTAATGTCTCCAGTGGACCATGTATGACATAAGAATTAATGCAAATGAACAACAGGTTCAATATAATGAAAACCACTCTGCATGCAGCACAACACTAAACTGGTCATTATATACTTCACACTGTTCCACTCTATATGCTGAATAACCTTATTGGGCTAATCTCACCCTTCCAAGCTCCTCCCTGTAATGCATTTTATTTCAAAACTTAGCGGAGCCATAGAATCCTATGATGAATATATTCATTGTAGTCCATCATCTTCAAAAGCTAGTCTCTGTTAGTCCCGTTCTCAAAATACATTTCAATGTCTTGAAGTCAAACATGAGGACAAGAAAATACAGTATAGAAATATGGCCATTGCCATATTAGAGATGGATCTAGGGAAAATGCTGCCCTATAGTGTAAGCTTGTCCAATTACAATATTTTTAAAGAAGCAGGCAAAGGAAAACAGATCATGTGTACTTACTACATTGCAAACCTTTTGAATGAGTAGCATCTCTGTATTCATTGCTTGTTTTGGAACTTTGACATACGGTATCTTTAAGTTACACATTACTGCTGATTTATCCTGCTAGTAACCAGAACAATAAAATCCACTTTATACATTCATTGATGTTTGTGGTCAGCGGGAATTGGGAACCATTTTCTGTGAATCCACCAAATTACTGTGTTTATATTCAGCTTTAAGATATATATGTGGCAACAGATTGTGTCTGGTCTTTTTTCAAAGTGCCAACCAAAGTAAAAACAAACCTTCAGTCCCATTTAACAAAATGTATTTCATAGAACAGACTGTTTTACTGCAGGATTCCCTTTAAACAAGTAGTTGCTATCTTGGAAACATATGGTTGTTAAAGTCAGGCAGATGTAGTCATTATGCAATAGTGTCTGTATGTGGCTTATTTATTACGAACTACAAGGCTGTTTCCTCAACATTTCCTTTTTTATAGTTGTAATGTTATGAACAAATAAGTGAAGCATATATGTATAATGACAACATAAAAATGGCAAAGGTACCTGAATGACAACCTATCCTTTAAGACCAAGTATAAAACGTTCGGTTTTATTCTGTTAATTAGTGTTCAACGTTACACACACACTCGATGGGGTCTATTATCACAGGGTCAATGGCTCTAATAATCTCTGCAAATGTTTGTTCTATGGGAATGGATGCATAAAATTAACGTTCTTGTATATTTTACTTAATAATTCAAATGTATTTTTGAATGTAATTTTGTAATACTGATGTATGGCCACCAGAGGAAGCTGAAGAGCATAGGAAATAAATACTTATTTTCTTTGCTCCTCAGAGGTTAATTTAACAAAGTAAAGGCTGTTCACTTCCTAAAGTTTTTTTCTTTACTTTGCTCTCGACTAAGTATTTAAAACAAACAAATGTCCACTTTAATTACTATAAGTGAAGCATATATGTATAATGATGACAACATCCCCATGTCTATCAAACAACTGCAAAAAAATCAAGGACATTTTATGTCCTCGATTTATTTTGCCGGTTGCTTGGGTGCCGGACAATGGGGAGTTTACTATACATACTTTTTTTTATACTTCATTATATTTTTCATTTTTTGTGGTCAGTCCACCAAAATGTATATTTAGTTATAAGTGGAGCCTAGAGGACTGTATCAGCTCCAAGTCACTTGTATGACTGATATACTCAGAAAGCAAGATCTGACTCTGTTCCACCACCTACTACTGCATTCTTCACTCTAAAAAGATAATTCGAAATCTGACAGAGGCAGTGGAACTCCTAATGGCCACGGCATGGGGTGCATACCCAGAGACTCAAGTGCAGATTTTCACCAATAGAATCCATAAGAAGTATTAGAAACTTTTCAGTAGATTGAAGTGCAACTAAGTTTTGGATAGAGTGAAGAGGGATTAGAACACCTGTCAGGTTTGCATTGCTGCCTGTGTCCCTGTTAGGGAGATTCGCCTTCTCTATTTGTCCAGGTGCCAGTTATCACCGAGAGTGAAAGTGAAAGAAAATCAAAAATTTTGGGTTGTTGTCAGAACAGGGCCGTGCAGGTGGCCATGGCTGCTCTGCTGAACAATGTTCGCACCCCCTTTCCCGCCAGAGCATCCCAGGTTACTGAGTGCAGGGCAGGGAGATGTGTAAGAGCCATAGACATCTCCCTGCCCGGCTCTTAGCAATCTGGGATGCTCTTGCTGGCATCCCGCCAAGCTCCTGGCAACCAGTGACGTCACTGTTTGCTAGGAGCTCAACAGGACGCCACTCTCCCACGCCTCAGGTGGCAAAAAAAACAAGGATGCTTCTGACAGGAATAGATAGAAAAACTTTGAATGGGCACACTAGTTCTTGTGACTAGTGTCCTGCTGGGATTTCTCTCTTTGGATGGATTTCCTCTCACTTCCTGTTGTGGCTACCTCTCCACTGGGACACAGATAGCAAAAAAAGGCTGACAGGGGTTAAAACCCTCCATTCCTCTATCCAAAACTAAAAAGAAAAAAGATGTTGGCTTCAGTTCTACTTTACATTTCAGGTTCAGTGAATTGACCATCAACATTCTGATTTAATTTTTATTATATACTGTGCTGTTTAAGACAATCTGAGCATTTTTTTTTCTTTTACCAGTACTAATATTGTTCTTTTTTTTGCATAGGATGCTGGTTAACAGGGTACCTTGCATGGAAATGGGAGCAGCGCAATCTGTCCGTTTACTAAATGACACCAGCTGGTCCTCTCCCTATTTATGTCTGCCTGCCACTGCCTTTGCTGATCACAAAATTCCTGCTGTCTCTACCCATTGTGCCGTCATGCAAGAAAAGGCATGCCATCCACGACTTATAGGATGCTGAGCATTCCTCTTCATTTAACTTTTCCCTACAGCTACAGTTTCTCACTGAGAGAAAAAAAACAAAAACAGTGGACCAATTGATTATCTCGTCTATGTCTGTAGGGTTTGGAAGCATACGACTGGAATTATTTGGACTCCTGCATTTTCATTGTCTTTAAGAGACTGTTATTGTTTTGCTGCTACAATGAGAATTGTACTTTGCTATGTAAGGTTTGGAACTGTTCAAAGGGTAAAGGTTTTGTACTGGAGTAGCAACGCTTCAAAGTCATCTCTCTGTTACCCACGATGCACTTTTTTTTTTTAAATTGAAATGATTTAAAACCCAAGTTTTAATGCCTAATAGTGTACTTTTTTATTTTAACAAAGGCCACCTTTATGTGTAATGCCATATTTTCAGTGTTAGATTATAATCCTTCAAAAGAGTGCAGTAGAAGGCAGCATGAATAGATCATATTGTGGTTTCTTGTACAGGCTGGATGGCAAAGAAGATCTGTAAATGTTTATTCTGCTCAAATTTCCTTTAAAACTCCCTCTAAACTGCACCCCAATTGGGAACAGAGCGAACGTGTTGAACTAAAGACCAGAATTCCCTGAGGGGGTAACGCAATCTGACGGAGGAGGGAGGAGATATTTGCTGAGCGTCATCAGAGATATGGGATGAAATTTCACCCTCTCTAGATTTCACTGATCCAGGAAGCCAGTGAGACAATCTCTCCACATACTAGCAGCCCTTTTCCTATAATTAAAATAGTATGGGCATACCAGTAACGGAATAGGGGCCAAGTACAAGGAATGTTTTTTTTTTTCCACAGACCCCTTTCAATTGAACCACACCTACCTTTTTTTCCTGCTATTCTGTATTTCGTGTTTGTTGACTCCTGTCTGGATGAAGAAAAATGTGCAATTCAGTCCTCAGTCACTGGTACGAGGATATAACAGGGTAGAAGTCACATTATTATTATTATGTGCACTTGTACAGATGTAGCCAAGAGTCCAAAATGGCAGTAGCTTAGAGCTCATGTGCTGGCACTTATATCTGAAGAAGAATTATAGAACCGATGTGAAGTGTGTCCCCCCTCCTTTTTTAAAAAGTTTTGAAGAATCTCAATCACATTGTGATTCAGTGTGTATGTTTACTAACTTCAATAAAGCATTTGCTCATCACTTTTTTCTGCACAGCGGCTGCTATTTGACATAGTCCGGAAATTTTATACCTTGGTGTGGAGTCGAGATAAAGGCATTCTGTGCAGTACAGACAAAACATAGCGGCTTTTTAGTGTATGTGTACTGTTAGTACTCTGTATATACTGTATTTCTATAGCTTCATTTGTAAAAAAGGAAAAAGAAAAAAAATGAAATCATTTAGCAGTTTAAAGTATTGTTTTCAGAAACAACCCCCTTAATTTATTAACATTGACTCAGTTCTGATCTCGTGGAGTGTCAAATCCTCTTTTTGTCATGTTACATGTCTCCACAGTTGTGACTCTGAAGCTGTTGGGAGCAGCAGAAACCATCCAAATGTTTCCAAAATGAAAATGATACAACACGTCATCCTTTGGCGCATTTGAAGAAAAACGCTTTGTATTGTTATTAACATTCCCACTGTGAAGAGGGCGACTTGTGTGTGTGTGTGTGGCAAGGACTTAACGTACAACTGAAGTGTTGCTGTTTGTGTTTTGTTGGTTTGGATTCATAGGATAATGTCTTGATGGGCTGTTCTTTAGAACATCTCTTTTTATCTTATAAATTTATGTGCAAACTTTACAAATGTGTTTTTTTTTTTCATGATTCACAAACACATGCTATTTCTACACAGATGTGATGTACATGGGACATTGTCAAATGGATTTACCTCGCAATGCTTGCTTCACTCTTATCTTAAAAATGACAACAAAGGCACCTTTAGAAATGTTTAGTAATGGCAATCTACAAACAGAAAGTTATAGATAATTGCCGGCTTTGTATTCTTTGCATTTTTCTTTTCCTTCCCATTCTTCTTACTAAGGGCAGAGAAGTCCATCTCCTTTACTCCTTGGAACTCTTGCACATGGGACTGTAATATGTGACACATCATCTGGGGGGGGGGGGGGTAAATGCAGGTTCCCATGCAA